GCCTGGTGCCTGAGGCTACATTCTGGCATTGGGTTTTCCCGGGAGCTGCTGGTGAGGGGAAGCTGTGTGTGCTGCCCCAGAGGTCAGGGAAGCAGGGAGGTGATAGATGTCTATGGCCCAGAGTCCCTGTGCTGAGCCAGGGCTCCCAGCTCTCCCTGCCAAATCCGTACCTGGTGCCGGCTCCAGGCAGGCAGAACCACAGCCCAGCAGGCAGCATTTCTGCATTCCCAGGCAGTCCTTGTCCTCCAGGCAGGGGAAGGAGCAGGGGGCAATGAGCCCCTCGGGGGCTGCTGCCCTGCAGGCACCGGGCTTCTCTGCAGCGCCGAGGGGCCGAAAGGTGAGGCTGCACCGCAGTGTCCTAGGGCAGCACCGGGAAACCTGCCCCTGCCAGACCCTTGTGCCAGACCCTGCTTGTCCCTGGCTGGACCCCACCATGTACCCCATCCCAGACCCCTCCATGCCTTAGGAGCTGTGGTCAGGGGGCTGCCAGCAGTGCACAGAGAGCTGCTCTGTAGCAATGGGAATGGCACAGGGATGGGGACGGGGATGGGGGAGAAGGATGCCAGCTGTCCTGGGACAGAGGTGGTGCCGTACCTTCTGCTGGGGGGATGCAGCGGAGCCGACACTCCCAGGGGCAGCACTTGAGCCCAGCGGGGCAGCTGGAGTCGTTGGCACAGAGCGGGGGCTCCTGGCGCAGGCAGCGCGTGAAGTCCCGTGGGCACCTTCCTGGTTTCGGGGGGTCCCCTGAAGAGGGATGGCAACGTCAGGGCAGTGCCAACACCAGAGCCTCTCATCCTCCATCTTCGGGAAGTGGGGCGTGGGTCCCCACGCAGGGGCCAGGGAACTGGAGTGGGGATCACAGCCCGGGGGGCTGGAGACTCTGCTGCAGCATGGCCCAGGGCTGCTGGACCCCCACATCGAGACCTGCATGGCACAGCATGGCACGGCACAGCACGGGGCTGTGTGTGCCCTTGCAAGGCAGCAAGTGCCATGAGGATTGTCACTGGCCCTGCAAGGGCACACCAGCTGGAGGTCAGGATCCATCCCTGAGCATCCTGCTGCCCTGGGTACCTTCACTGCAAGGAGCACACCCCATGCCACTGCTGCCTCCTCCTCTTCCTCGTCCTCCTCTTGGCACCCTGTGCTCATCTTGGCCGTGCTGGGAAAATCAGGACAGCCCTGCCTCTGCTACAGGTGAGCTCCAGCTGGTGCCTGTTCCCGGTTCCATCACCGGCCGGAGATGCGATGGGAGCAGCCGCTCTGTCAACAGCCTGGCTGGGTGCGGCAGGGCCGCGTGTTTGGGCTGCAAACAGACGCTGCCGGAGTTTCACTGCAAACAGCAGCTGTTTGGCTCAAACAAAGAGGCACTGGCCGTTGTCTCGGGGTGGGCAGAGCCGCGCTGCAGCTGGGCACCACCGTCCCTGGCATCATGCTGCTGCAGGGAGCCGGCATGGGGTGTGGGGGGGTCTGCACTCAGAACGTAGAAGACACCCTGGCACATGCAGCACCCCTTAGAGCTGATGGTTGCTGCGTGTAGGGTGCAGGAGGTGCACATGGGGGTGCAGGGGGTGCACACATGTCCCGGGGGCCCCCCAGGCAGCTGGGCAGCAGAGCAGGTGCTGCAGCCAGCTGGGACATGGTCCCTGCCAGCATGTACTGGGCAGGGACAGAGGAGACATGACAGCGACAAGGGGGACCGGGGTGCAAGGAGCTGCCCCCAGGCTGCCTGTGCCTGGCAGCTGCCAGGTTTGCTACCCAGTACTCACCGCCCTTCTCCTCTGATGTCACGCTTGGCTCTGCCCTGAGGATGAGGAGCCCCAGGAGGAGGAAAACTCCCAGGCTCATGGCGCTGCCAGGGACGTTGTGAGTGTCTGGAGCTGAGCTGGGGCTTGGTTTACAGTCAGTGGACAGGGTACCCGAGGTGCCAGGGCAGTCAAAGCTGGGCTGCTGGCTGTGGCATCTGGCTGTGCCGTGGGCAGGAGGGGCAGGAGGAGCAGGAGGAGGGGCAGTTCCCAGAACCCACTGGCGCCCTGCCAGCCATCCTGCTTATCTCTGGCCGAGCCCCACTTTGTTTGGGGTCAGGGCGACCCACGGGGCTGAGGAGGGCAGCTGGGGTCAGGCACTGTCCCCCATGGTGCACAGCCCTGCTGCAGCTGGCTGCCACCCCCTGCCTGGGTTTCCCTCCAGCCCTGCTTGCCCCTTGCCTCCCTGGAGTGGGGGCTGTGGATAGACTCCACGGGTTGGCCGTGGCACAGCAGTAGGAGCAGCCTGAGGAGTTCTGCCAGCCCTGCTGCCATGGTGCTGTCCCCCAGCCAGGTGTAGCCTCTGTTCATGGGACTGCTTGGGATCCATGAGTAAGCAGGTCCTGCCGTGTCCCCTTGCAGGTCAGTGCTGCTCCCTGCCCCCTTCTCTGTCCGGGGACTCCATCTGTCCTGACCCGTGACTGCTTTTCCCACCAGGTTTTCACACTTCGGGATGCAAATGAGCCCTTCCTTGGTGCAAGGAATCCGAGGGAACTGGTTCTCCAGTCCCTGACTGCTGAGGGAACATGAAGCAGCCCCCGGGCCCTGCAGGATGGTCACCATGGGGTGATGATGGCTGGAGGTCGCCCGTGTGGAACTGGGACCCTCTCCCTGCCCCGGGGCAGTGTCTGCCTGCAGGGATGGCTGCCTGGCGCCTGCCTGCACCTCCCTGCCTGCACACAGCCCAGGCTGCCGGTGCCTCTGGGAACCAGAGAGGGAAACAGGGATGGTCACCCAGAGCAGAGGTGACCATGGGATGGTTTATTCTGTCTCGGTGCTGTGGAGCAGCTGAGGCCAAAGGGGATTGCCTTGTGCCGGGCTGCCAGGAGCCTTGGCTGTGGGGTGGTGTGGGTGTTGTGCAGCCCCTGATGGCACAGCTGGGAGCAGCTGGGGGTACCAGTTACCCCAACCAGAGCCATCACTCAATGCTGGTGCCATCCTGCCAGCGGTGCAGAGGGTCCAGCACAGGGACAGGCGCGGGGGCAGCAACACCTCTGCTCACGCCAGTGGTGCAATGGCAGTGGGGTGTAGGGTGACCCCAAAAAGGCAGCTCCTGTGCAGCTCTTCCTGGCCAGGGCTAGGCTGTGCCTGGAGGAGACAGGTGAGGGGGTCAGTGAAGATGGGTGCTCCCTCTCTGAGGGATGGGGGTCCTGGGGTGCTCCCACCCTGGGCCTCCCTTAGTCCCCTCCAGGCTGGACCCGGGGGGCAGCAGGCTGGGGGTGAACGTACCCCACAGTGGGGGGATGCAGACCCGGCTGCAGCCCTGCTGGCAGCACTTCTGGCTGGTGGGACAATCCTTGTCCTGCAGGCACAGGAGGAGGCACTTGTCTGCCTGGTTACCATCCACTGCAGGGGGACAGAGCCCTGGCCACACTGGCACATATGAGAGAGGGAGGGGTGAGAGGTTCAGGGTACCCCTCCAGCATGGGGGAGCTGCCCTGCCTGCAGGGGTGAGTTCCTCACCCAGTTCCTCCCCCATCATACACCAGCTCAGTCCCCACCCTCCCATTGCCCCCTAGGGAGGGCCACGGTAACAGGGTGTGTAGGCAGCACAGGGGTCTTGGCTGATGGCTTACCCCTGGTGGGTGGTTTGCAGACATGTCCACAGCCGGTGGTGCAGCACTTGTCATCCCCAAGGCAGTCACCGTCTGTGTCACACAGCTCCAGGCAGGGACCCAGGGAGCCCCGCAGCACCATGGGGCACGTGCCGGGCTTCGCCGAGGCATGGTGGCTCCCTGGTGACAGCAGGGACTGTGGATGTGCTGGGATTCTGTGCTCCTCAGCCCTGCTCCTGGCACAGCCTTGGTCTCCATCCTGTTTTCCTCTCCATCCTCCTTTGCAGAGCCCTGTGCTTCTCTCAGTTGCCAGCCTCACACCCACACCAGTCTGACCCAGTGAGACCAGTCACAGCCCAATATGGGATGCCAGCTGATAAGTGGAGTGGTGAGGGACAACCCTGGCTGTGGTCCCACCAGCAGGCGGTCTGAGGAGGGTGCAGGAGGTGGGTGCAGGAGGGGGTTCAGCCCTGTGCATGTTTGGGACCATCACCCCCCCATGATAGAGGAGCTGCGTGCAGGGATCCTGAGGGCCAGCTCTTGCCCAGGGGCTCAGGAGGGCCTGGGCTGGGGCCAGGGCGGGTGTGTGGCAGCGGGAGCCACAGCTGGTGGCACATGCTCCCTGGGGCCTGGAGGGCTGCCACCAGCTGCACACTCGGCTGGGCACAGCCGCTGCGGCTTGTCCGGCAGCACGGCCTGGCACACGCCGGGCTCCACAGGGGAGGGAGAGCCGTGCTACCCCCAGTGCAGTGGTGGGCTGGACACGGGGATCAGGGAGGGCTGGCGGAGCTGTACCTGTGTCTGGAGGGGCACAGGCTAGCCCACAGCCAGAGAAGCAGCACTTGTGGTCCCCAGGGCAGTCCCGGTCATCGGTGCAGCGGTTGGGGCAGGCGGCAGCACTCCTCTGGGTACGCTTCCGTGGGCAGAACCCGGGTTTGGCTGGAGGGAGGGTTGAGGCTCAGCATGTAGCCAGTCTGGCCCCACAGTGCCCACAGTTCCCCTACAGTGTGATGGGGGCTGCGGACTCCTGGGTCTGTCCCGAGGCATCCTCAGCCTGCCATGGGGACCCCCAGGCCACCTCACCTGGCTCGGCGTGCACGCAGCGGGTGCAGCAGCCGCGGGTGCAGCACTTCTCCCCGGAGTGGCAAGCGGTGTCGTCRTGGCAGCTCGCCCCACAGCTCGGCCCGATGGCGCTGCCAGCGCGGGGGCAGTAGCCTGGGCTCTCTGCAGAGGGAGATGCTCCATGTGGCCATGTGCCAGGGACTGGGGCTCATGCCAGGGGCACTGACACAGGCACCAGCCCCCACCCACACCCCACCCATCACCCAACCCCTGTGCTGGCATCCCTCGGAGGGAGCAGGGGTACCTGTGGTGGGCAGGAGGCAGGTCCAGACCTGCCCACTCTGGCAGCACTTCTCGGCACCGGGACAGCTGTGGTCGGAGAGGCAGTACAGCCCGGGGGGCCAAGGGGCTCCACTCGCCCCCGCTGGGCACTCACCAGCTTTGGGGGGGGCAGGTGAGGCAGTGGGGGTCCAGTGTCCCTGTGGGACTGCGCTGAAGGTGGGAGCAGCGCCCTGGTCCCCACGGCCGTGCTGCTGGGCCAGGGCGAGCAGTGCCAGGAGCACCAGGAGGAGGCTGCGCTGGCCCAGCATTGCACTGCGATCAATGCTGTGCTTCTGGGCGATGGGCTGGGATTTAAACTCTGCTGGGGCAGGGGCTGGCCAAGCCAAGCTGCTCTTTCTCATGACAGCAGGGTTTCAGGACTGTGGGAGTGCCAGGCATGAACAATTCTGCTCGGGGGAGTCTCCTGGGGCAGCGCTGGGCCTGTGGCTCACAGCTGACACATCCTCCACAGAGCCCTTTCCAGGTCACCGGTGACCCGCGAGCAGCTGGGCCGGGACCAAGCAGAGCTCCCAGAGCCCCACCACTGTGAGCAGGGTTAGCACATAGGGGCAGTGTCCTGTCCCCAGTCTTCAGTGCCCACCAGGTCCCTCTTGGCGCACATGGAGCAGGGAGAGTTGCTGTGGAGCTGTGGTGCTGTGCTGGGGTGCACCAGCCTGCACCTGCATCATAGGGAGAGGGGGAACCAGCACTGGGCATTGGGCAGTGCTGGCCAGGGTGTGGGGCTTGTTCAACCCTAGGGGGCAGCTAAGGGTGGGTGCTCTGGGGGTACCGGCCCCTCCCAGGCAGGAGGGACACTTGCTCTGCTCCCAGGGGCTGGGAGTGGGAACAGGGTAGGACCAGAAGGGACAGGGCCCTTGGAGCCCTATGAGGAGCTGGAGGTGCCAGGAAGAGCAGGATAGGAGCAGAAGCTTAGCCCTGAGCAGGTGGGGAGGGGCAGGCATGTGGCAGAGGTGCGTGGGCTGCACTGCCCAAAGCTCCTTTAGGCTTCTGCAGTGGGCAACTGCGTGGGGCAAGGAAGGGTTTGGGTGATGCTCATGTGAGGGCACACGCTGCAGCCTGTTTGTCTCCTGGTCATTGCAGAGCGGGGAGCAGAGAGCACCTCTGCTCTGAGGGGACACAGCTGCACCCTGATGGCCCCGCTCTGAGCATGGCTGTGCAGAGGTGGAGGAGCCAGTGTGCCAGGTCAGCCAGGGCCAAGGGCCCATGGGACAGCCCCAGGCAAGGCACAGGCTGAGGACCCCTGGAGACACAACAGAGCCAGTTGATGCTGGTGTTTGTGTGGAGCCCTTCCAGGCATCTCCAGCGCGGGACGAAGAGGCAACCAAAGATGGTGGCCATGGAGTGGCAGGGAAAGTTGGCCTTGGCGCAGGATGGAGAGGCAGCCATGGCGTGGCAGGGAGAAGCTGCTTTATTGGACAGAGTGCAGGGGGCTGTGGCATGCCCCGAGCAGGGGACCCTGGGGAGGAAGCTGAGGCTGAAGACTCCAAGCCAGGGGGATGATGCAGGGCCACGGCCAGGGTGAGCGGGATGGGTGTTGGGCAGCAGCTTCCCCGTGGCTGGGCTGGCAGGAGGTGGCTGTGCCTGCAAAGGAGCAAAGACTGTGAGCAGGATGGGTGCACAGATGCGGTGGGATCCCTGGGGCTGGCATGCACCCAGCTGACCTCAGTGGATGGGCGTCACGCAGGAGACCTTGCCGCAGCCATTCCTGCAACACTTCTGGTTCCCGGAGCAGTTGGCGTCAGACTTGCACTGGTTGGTGCAGACACCCAGCATGGGGATGCCCGGGCTGACGGGTGGGCAGGTGCCAGGCTTGTCTGAAAGACAAATGGACATGGCTGAGACCTGCTGGTCTTGGCATGGGGGGCAGGGCCCACCCTGCAGCTCCTGGAGCTGTGGGCATGGCCCTGGCCCCTGCCTGCCATGGAGGAGGGACCACCATGGCTGCCGGCATTTCCCTCATTCCATGGCTTTGCCGGTTGGTGCTCCAGCCAGCTGGACTTGACGGGGACGTGTCAGGGAGACTGCGTGGCACGGTGGTCCCCAGTGGTCCCTGTGCTCAGTGGTCTCGCTCAGGGACGCATGGCTGGCACAGGATACGCAGGTGTGCCATGCAGATCCGATGGCAGCCTTGGCCCTGCTGTTCCCCACAGCTGCCAGGGATGGCCCTGGCCCTAGCCATTTGTTCATGGCATGAGGGTTCAGCCCAGGCCTTGGCTGGGATCATGTGCCCCCAGACAACCTGTGCCTGGCAGTGTGGGGCCCCTGCTCCGCTGTCCCACCGCCTGCCACTGGCACTGGACTCCAGCTCTGCACCCTGCTGCCCTCCACTGCAGCCAGGCCAGTGCTATCCTGCAGGCAGCTGTGGAGGTACTGGAGCCTCCGGGTCACATCCACATGTCTGCAGCTGTGGATCCCAACTCCTGAGCCCATTTCCAGAGGCTGCTCTCCATCAGGACTGGCATGGTAACTGTGCTCAGCTGGACGGCTGCAGGGCTGTGGCCAGTGCAAGGATGGGGATGATGCTATTGGGAGACTTCCCAGCGCAGGGTTGGAGCCAGGACAGTGCCCACATCCTGGGCTGGCAGCCACCCACGAGGCTGAGCAGTCAACGAGCACTGCGACGGGGAGCGGCGCAGACCCCCACCCTGTGCCCCGTCCCCAGCGTCATTCGGGATCATCCTCTCAGCCCCTGCATCGCTGA